TTATTTTGTTTGCCTTCCGACACAACATTAGTCTTACCACAGCTGGGCCCTTCGGCCTCCCTGTCGGCGGACGTTCGTCCGTTTTTTTCTTGATGTGTGCCAGGCATGAAGCTACTAGCGGCGTGCGATATCACGAGCTACAGCTTAACCAGCAGCGTGGATGGCGGCATGAAAGGTGACCCCAAGCTTCGCCCTTACATGGACTGCCCGCTCGGCCGGACTACTCGCCACGTGCTTCACGTTCTGTTGGGGGAGTGCGGCGTGTTGAGGCAGAAGATCGATGGCTCGGGGTTATTCATCGCCATGGACAACTACTTCACCTCGCCCACTCTGTTCGAGTGCCTCGCCTCCCACGACATCTTCGCTGTAGGTACCTGCCGCGCCGATCGGACTGCCGGCGCTGATGCGTACCTCGAGAGCCTCGGGCGTACCATTCCCAACCGCGGCGACATGAAATTCTGCCGTTCGGGCAAGTGGCGTGCGTGCAGTGGGCTGGCTCCAAGGATATCTTCCTCATCAGCACCATCCACGTCGCGCAACCGGCCAAGGGAAAGGAGGAGGCAGGTGGAATCGACCACTTCAAGCCTTTGCCTCTATCGTGAGTCTGACTAGTGTTCTTCTTGACTTTTTTCTGGTTAGCATGTTGTCTACGCTGGTCTTGTCTGGACGCACGAGCACGAGTGCCTCCGCGGGGGGTGGGGGGTAGGGGGGAACGGGGTGCGTTTGAGAGGCTCAGTACATTCGCAGCCGGAGTCGGATACTGTGTCGTGCTACCTCTGTTGACGGTGGTCGTCCTTGTGCTCAAGCCTGTGCCCCACATCCATGTACCCCTTTTGCTCACCAGCCTAAGCCTGTTCGTCCCTCTTTTCACACGCAGCCCCCTCGCAACTTTACCCTGCGCGCCTTCTGTTGTGCAGACTGAGAGCGAAGGGCCGCAACGGGGAACCTCTGGATTTGCAGCAGCCTTGGATGCCTATGGATTACGTTCTGAAGATGTTGGGGGTGGATTTGGCCGACCAACAGAACGGGTCTCACACGCACGACCGCAAGTCCTACACGAACTTCTGGCGCCGTGTGTATGACGCAAAGTTGGAGCAGGCGCTGACCAACGCGTTTCTGATTTTCGTTGATGTCGAATATGCTGCAACTACCCTAGCCCGTTCGCCCATTGGGAAATCGAGCCAGCACATTCGCCCGCCGGTCTCGGCTTAATCAAAACAGAAAACATAGCTACCTTGCCCCGCGTGCGTAACCGATGGCACGTGCGTCACACACTACATCGAAAGAGCGGCAAGTACAGCTGCGGGCAGCGGCCGGTCGTCAGGCCAGACCGCGCGGCAGGCCTGGGTGAAGCACTCCTGCCTCCTCAGCTGAACCCCACGGCCTCACGCGTTGAGCGCCGTCCCGGCGTCGTAGCAGGCCTGCACGCGTCAAGGTCATCGGTGTGAACGCGACAACATGGTAGGTGGTGCTGTTTATGCCTGTCCACATAGATTCTCGACAACGAGAATTTGTCCCTCGGAAGATCAGGTCACGCCGCGAGGTGTTTGATGTTGTCCGACTAAAATTTAGTGGAACAAAGCACCAGCAATTTGTTACTGCTGTAGCGCGTTTGACGACAGGCTGTGAACATGTCGACCCAGACGATAACAACCTCCCCGCCAGAACTATGTATACACATGTAACTGATCCGCCAACACGCCCGTCGGCGTACTTCCCGCACAAATAAGCTTTCATCACAAGCTTCTTTGCCTGCTGACAGCAGCAGGACACCAACAACGTCAAAGGCTAAAAACACCGATTCTCTCGCGGTGTCGAAGTTGTGTCAACAGCTGCAGGTCGTATATGTGAAGTATTCAACACAACAACACAACGTGCCTCTCTTTCCGGCCTAAAGTCTCAGCAGGTCACAGACAGATAGATGCCGTTCGTGTGGCACTCCCACCATCACTCTGGCCTCGTACACATTTCCTGGCACACATACATAGCAGTGCATACCCCACAACACAGCAGTCCAATACACACACACACACACACACACACACCTGATTCCTCATTCTTTTCGTTGTGATCTCAGCTCCTGCTACCCTCTCTTCCACCATGGTGACGTCGATGTTGGCGATGTGTTCCGCGTGGTACTTTCCGCATAATCCAGCATGTTGCTGTGCGGCGGCCTGCCTCTCCGGCAGTTTGCTGATATCAGGGAGCGGACCCGGCGGAGTATCGTGGTTGCAGTACCGGGCACCAACAGCGACTGCGGCCGCTTGCAAAGCTTCGCGGAAACGTACAGGCGTTCGTGCTGCTATGAGCAGTAATTCTTGCCAAACGTGGAGCGGGTTGCCCTGTGGACAGAAACCCTCAGCATGGTGCTGCCAGAACGCGGCTACGTCGTCCATGTCGTCCATTATTGTCGACGTAAACTGCGTGTGTAGCGCTGGCCAGAGGGGCTCCGTGGGGTATCGACATCGCTATCGGCGTTGAAGGCATACGGGACTTTGTCAGTACACTCTCCCTCTCCATCTATCTCTAACCCGAAGTCTAATTTAGTATGGACAGCGGGTTCTTCAAGTCCCGCGTGGATTTTGTAAAAAAACCATACTGATTTTTTACACTGGGTGACACCTGTCCTGGCGTGCTTAGCAGAAGGGCCATGCGCAATCTTTTGCGGCGCGCTTGTGCCTAAGCCCTTGCAAGGGATAGGTCTACGTCCTCAAAGGCGGCAAAGGCTTGTTTATGACCTGACGGCAGTGCTAGACGTTGCATGATGTGTGTGCTGTTCATATGCATTTTGTGTCCTCAGCAACACGCGTTCAGTCGCGTTTGCCGGATCGCATCCGATCCTGCGTGTTTCTAATGTTGTTGTGTTGCCTACTGAAAGGCACCGGAAGGGCACTGATCAAACGGGTAGGACACTGTTAGATTGCCCATCGCTCGGTGTGAGGCATTCGTGGTGCCAGAGAGAGAGAGAGAGAGAAGACAGCCATCGTGCACGGGANTGTTTATGACCTGACGGCAGTGCTAGACGTTGCATGATGTGTGTGCTGTTCATATGCATTTTGTGTCCTCAGCAACACGCGTTCAGTNTTTGTGTCCTCAGCAACATGCGTTCAGCCGCGTTTGCCGGATCGCATCCGATCCTGCGTGTTTCTAATGTTGTTGTGTTGCCTACTGAAAGGCACCGGAAGGGCACTGATCAAACGGGTAGGACACTGTTAGATTGCCCATCGCTCGGTGTGAGGCATTCGTGGTGCCAGAGAGAGAGAGAGAGAGAAGACAGCCATCGTGCACGGGATGCTGTGTTGATGCAGCAGCTACGAACCAGCCTTTTTCTCTAGTTTGTGGGTGATTGCGATGTGTCCGTTGCGAAGACATGCAGCCTAAGTCCATCGTGGGTGTGGGCCTTCCCCCTTCAGACCGTTCGGGGTGCACCTGATACTCTATCCCCGGCCCCGGCCACGGCACATGCCCTATTTGCTCGTGCTGGCTGCGCGCAACTCCGCGGGCGCTGCTCGCAACGTGTGTGTGCGGCCAGTCAGACTTCTTCGTCCTTCTTCCCCTTTCCATTTCCAAATTTCGGACTATTAATNGCGGCCAGTCAGACTTCTTCGTCCTTCTTCCCCTTTCCATTTCCAAATTTGTGGTGACGGGAGTTACTGTGGCTCTTCCGGGAGGCACAAAAAGCTGTTTAC